GCCATAGCAGATAATTTTCCTCAGTTATATATTGTACTATGGTGGAAGACTTTCATGTGGTATCCAGCTACAGTCATGCTGATTTAGAAATGTCTGTCTGCCTTGTCGTCTCCGGTTAATAATACCTCAGCTTGTATTTCTGAGCCTAGGACAGTAATGTGGAAATAGTTAATGATTAATGGTTGAAACAAATAAATGTGCTAGACATCAAAGGTCATATAGCACTATTGTAAAGTATTGTGGTGAGAAGGGTAAAGATTAAAGATTAGGATAGAATGTTAGATGTCAAAGATTAGAAAGCATTATAGGATAGTATAGTAGTGAAAGGTGAGAAGAGGGGAGCAAGTGAAGTAGAGCAAAGATAAGTAAAAAAGGAAAGGTTTAAGGGGGTAGGGCAACAGTGAACTGCAGTGTATTTGTGACTGGGGAAGGAATATGGACATTGTTCAAGGAAAACAGAGCTGGTTGTTGGAAAAATAGAAGAATCCGGGGAATGAGAAATCTGGGACTGGGGAAGGTGATGTAACCAGATGTAACCATAACAAGGTGTTAACAATTGGAGCGATTGTGAAAGGAAACTTTTCCTACTTGTATTTGGAGACATCGTTTTCTCAGAGTAAGGGGCTGTGGGGGGAATATAGAATCGATCCCACTTGACTAGGCCAAAGAGAGTACTCAAAAGGTTTACAGAGGTGGAGGCAGTAGAAGGATGAGCGCAGGAGGAAGATGGGGTGGTGTGGGGTGAGGCAGTATTGTGTGGAGGAGAACAGTAAGGATGAAGAGTAGTAATAGGCGAAGAGGGGTTAGACAATGAAGAAGACTGCAGATAGAGGGAAGAATGTTGGGAGAGAGGAAGGGGTGCTTTCTGAAGGTTGAGTAATGACCTGGGTGGGTGGTTCAGAATGAATAGATTTGTCAGTCGACATCGATAAGGGGGTCTTAGTATCAGTTGTCGGAGCCGTGGTCAAAGGAGAAGCAGGGGTCAGAAAACCATTGAAATCAAATAGGCTATTTGATGATGGGGCAAGCCTTAATGCCCCTAATAAGGGTAAAACCATTACCCCCATAAGGGAGTAATGGTTGATGGTTGAAAAAGGTCATATAGCACTATGGTAAAGTATTGTGGTGAAAGGGGAAAATGAGTTAATGATTAGTATAAAGTGTTAAATGTGAAAGGTTATAGTATTATAGGATAGTATGATAAGGAAAAAGGTAAAGAGGGGGTGGAAATGAAGTAAATCAGATATTAATAAAGAAAAGTGTTAAGGGTATAGGACGACTGGATGGAATGGGATGAGTCTGTTGTTGGGGAAGCTATAGTAACATTGCTTTAAGGAAAAACTGGTAAAAGAGCTGTTATGAAATAATCAACGGGTAATATGGGTAGAGATGGCTATTAGAGAAGTAGCATGAGAAGAGTCTGGGGGATAAGATCAGGGGACTGGGAAAGGAGGTGAAGCATCAGGAAGTGCGTCAGGAGAGGAGAAATCTGTTGGATACTGTTGCGACAGAAGGGATTCACGTGAGTATCCATGTGGGAGAGGTAAGGATAATGGAGAACAAAAAGGGAATGGTGTGCATGAAGGAGGAGAGGATGGGGTTTATTGGGAAAGAGTAGGGGGAACTTGAGGGGGAGGAGGATGGATATCGGCAAATGCTTTGAATGTAGAATTTGACTGGGGCATAGAGTGAGTAGAGGTAGGATAGTTAAGGGTATAGGGAAAAGATACTGGGGAAGATGCAGAAACATCTTGTGAAAATTGTGGAAGACCAGAATGGACTGTTTTGGAATAAATGAAGAGAGAAAAACCTCGTTGTCATACTTCTTTTCAGGCCTCACATAGAGTGGGGTCAAGCTTGAATCTGAGGACTTTATGGGGGAGGTCATGTCTACGGAAGCGAATCTTGGCAATATTGACATGGGACTTCCGCTGGCCTCTGGGAGGAATAGTGTAACACTGTACTGCCACTGCATCATAATCAGCAAGGCAGGTAAGTATGTCATTTTCATAGTCTGACCAGTCCTTGTGGATAGGACAAGCATTTGGGGGGATAGAAACAGTTCCAGTACAAGTATTAAGAGAAGGGTGAAATTCAAGGAATCGATCCCATTTGGCTGGGCCAAAGAGAGTACTCAAAAGGGTTGCAGAGGCAGTGATAGTAGGACATGGGCCAAAGGAAGATGGGGTGGTGTGGAGTGGAGTAGTTCTGTGTGGGAGGACAATAAGGATGAAGAGTAGTAATAACGGAAGAGGGTGTAGACATTGAAGAGGACTGTGCAGTATGAGATGGAGAGGAGAATGTTGGTAGAGGGGTGCTTTCTGGAGGTTGAGTAATAATCTGGATGGGTGTGTTGGAATGGATAGAGTTGTCAATAAGTGTCAAGGAGGGAGTATTAGTATCATTGGTCGAATCTGTTGCCAGAGTAGGAGCAGGGGTTGGAAAACCATCAAACTCAAATTTAGATAGGCTAGTTAATGGGTAATGGTTATAAAGCGAAATAAATGTGCTAGACATCTAAGGTCATTTAACACTATAGGAAAGTATATTAAAGGAGAGGTGAGGGGTGATGGTTGCTATGCGTCAGCTATCTAGAGTACTCTTGAAAGGTTAAAGGAGTTGTTGTGTGAATGGGCTATGGTGGATCTAGGTAAAGGGATTACATAAGAGTTTCATGTGTGTATCCAGGAGGGAGTGGAAATAATAGAGGGGATGGAGGGAGGGAGAATGTACGGGAGGATGGATATCGGTAGTAGGCAGAATTGAGGGGGTTAGGTTGTGTTGAGAGAGAATTAGGATGAAGGGGTGTCAGGGGAATATCAGTAGGAGATGGATGGAAGGGGGGGCTTCAGGGTAATTCACTTTTTTCAACAGGTCCTAATAGTTGAATGGGTAAGTCTTTAGACGTTTAGCTATTCCAAAGCAACAAACATCAATTTTTATTATCCGTATTTATATCATGTTGCCATGATGGATGTGCTGGTTCCCTTAACCCATTGGCGCCGGGTGTTACGTACGTACATGCCATGGCTGTTGTGGACCAAACGCCGGGGACATCATGTCATGCCCATTCCCCCGCTACTGGCTTGTCGGACGAAGGTTGTTTTCCTCCAGTAGTAGTGGCTTCATTTATATGGTAAAGATTTTAGGCAATGGCAGCTAAAGTGAAGGTAAGCCTTGAAAATTTTAATATTTTTATACATTTTAGCAAAATAAAAGCTTTTAGGTGCTATATGTCGCTCGCAAACTATCGATGGAGCCAGGCGCAAACAGGGGAAACTGCTGGTGCGCGCCAACACGCCGGTGCATACGTAAACTTACCAAAATTTTTACCCGTCACTGATGGGTTAAGCTTAGTTCCTGAGAACAAAATCCATTTGGTTGTATCGCTGTATATAGGATAATAAAATTTTAGTTTTTTTTGTACTTATTTCAAAGGCAAAAGCCCATTTATTTGAGCTAAAACTCTATGAAAATTTATAAACCTTTTTTTTCTTTTTCTTTTTCTAAAGTATATCTTGGATACTTAACCTGTTTTTTTTCTGGGAAAAAAGGCACAGAACAATTGATAACAATTCATATTTCTCACTTTAACTCGTAAGAACACTGCTTTAATACATAATATTTCATAGAAGTTACACAACTGACCTTATTGTTAATGAACTTAAAATATAGATTTCTAAATTACAATGCAATACTATCTCACAGGCAGTTTGTATTTTAGATTAAAATGCAATACTATGTTTTCTGTTTAATAACTAAGATTTTTAATGTCCCCAAGTAATCCCAGGAAAAATATCATATAAGAAAGAAAAACAAACGGAACCTCAATATTATATAACTGTGACGTATCACATTAAATATGCTTATTTTTTAAAACATATCTTTAATCAGAGCTCAATGTCCTTCATAATGTTGATCAGACGAGTAAAAAGCAAAAAATAATTTATCACAAATTGGACGGAATGTTTATAAATGCAATATGCATGACATTTTATGATTTCGTCATAAATGTTCTAAGAGCTATATTACAGAAACTGAAGAACACATTCTAAAAAATACATAGTTATAAAAACTGTGACTCTGGTTCATTCTTTTCCCACATATTTACAGTTAAGAAGGTGATTAGTAACATATGTTTCCTTTTCACAAACCACATTGTTATAAATGTATATATTTCTGTACAAAACAAATTCCATGAGTATGAAGTTTCACACATTACACAAAATATATAAGAACAACAAATGAGCTTATACTATTTCATTCACTGAAAACTGAGTACTGACACTAGAAGTGCTAGTCACTATCAGACTCTCCATCCATAGTTAGGGATGTTAGTCAAAGAATGCTTACACTGCATTTTTAAAATGTGTTTTGTTTCAGAACCGAGAATTTCCAATCAAGAGTCAAGGTAATCTTATTTACCATTAGATACATATTGGAAGTGGATAAAATCACCTTCGTTACATCCATATATTTAAAAAATTGCTGTCTTGACCTTTTTTGTAAACACATTAACCATACCATGGTACATCTATCTTTCATACAACTAATTTTGACCTGCTTCATGAAGTATAAAACTGATCCAACATTGACCTATAAAAATAAACAATATGGAGCTATAAGGTAATCAGTTAAGCAGATTATATGTTTACACTTCTGGAAGTATTTTAAGACCAGCAATTAAGTACAATCTAATAGCAAGCATTGAAAGTACTTCATATCAGGGTTCATGAGATACTGTCTGGATTTTTTTTTTTTTTTTTTTTTGCAAAGTATATTCATTATTACCCTTCATCCAAACATTGAAAAATATCTCCTTTAAGAAATTACTAGAAAAGTCTTGGTTTAACTATGGCATTATAAAAATACTAACAGACACATGATACATGTCCCATTATTTCAAATCCAGGGAAAATTGGCTTTGGTCTATTTGCACATCAATCAATAGAATCATCGATTCTACTGAGCACGTATGTACATATGTATATATCTGTGTATGGGGGTATGCACATGAGTATACAACTGTCCATGTGTTTGTGTGCATTTGTGAGTGATCTCATTCTTTTGTGCATGTACACTTACTCACTTATATACTAATACATATGTGTATATGCATCTACATGCACAGGTACATATGTACATCTCTTTAAAAATCTGGATCAATATATATCCATAGATTATGGATTACCCAATCTTAACAAAAATATACATCCATTGATCTGAATTATTATTTTCAATCTAAAGATCACAATACTAATATATAACCATAACTGCCATTCATAAAGTCAATACTAGCTGCTGCTGGTAAAAATAAAGTACAATTTATGTTAACCACATGCTGACGGGGATGGCATGTGCCATCTCCACTGTGTGTTTAATCTAGTAATTGTTTTTACATACAGATGGATCCACAAGTACTAGGTGACCAATGAGCCAGTCACATGAAGTACCTGTCTCACCTGTTGAACCATTTCCTTGATTTTCAATAATACTTTATAGTATTTGATACTGCTGTTAGTAATACCCAAAAACAAAATGAAATAATGTTAGTATTAGTGAAAAAACGTGTTTTTCCTGCCAACTCGAGGAAAGGTGAGGTCACAAGATCTTCTACTTGACTCCTTTGTGGCTAAGCAATGGCAGAGCCATCTATGCGCAGAGACATTTAACATAACATTAAAGCAAACGCAACATTTTCCTAATAATAATAATAATTATTATTATTTTTATCATAATTATCATCATGATAATTATTATGGTATTATTATTATCAATACTATCATTACTATTACCATTATCATTATTTATTAATTTACTTATATGTGACATATATGGTTATATAAGGATTGTTTTTTTCAAATATGCACTTCAATTTTTAATGTATAAAAATACAACAGGGTGTTACATTGTGAGACATAATACACTGGGATAATCCTAAGAATATTAATCTTACAGTAATGCATACAATATAACACCTGCTTGTAATTATGTGGTAAAAACACTTGCTTTTGAGATTCTGGAGCACAACCTAATAAAAATCTTCATGATCACAATTGATTACAACAGCCAGAAGTACTGCTGTTTCATGATATGATGATGCAGCATGGTCTCATTTCTAAGTTTCAACTAAACATTAACTGAAAAGAAAAAGAACCTGAATAGAAAAGTATACCTATAGGTAAATTATAATTCACTTTGGATCAAACAACCAGGAATTTAAAAAATTGATTAGCTAGCTATACAAGATTACTTGTAAAAAGACCTTCTCACTAAACAAGTATAAGAAAATCAGATATGAAAATAATTATTTAGTTATGAAAATAGATTTTATTTGAAGTTTTAAAAACTTACATAGTAAATACAAAAATAAATTCACTTACAATTGAGAGATGCAGACCTTCAATTTGCAAGGCAGAGGATCACTAAAAATGCAATCAATGCCGATGACACTTGCAAACATGGAGAAGAAGCAGTACAATCTACTTCGTACCGCGCATTTAGGAACTCAATACCTAGTAGGGGTAATATTTGCAAGCATTAATAGAAATGCCTCCTATTAATGAATATAATAATGACAACAAAGCTACACCTTTACAAAGATTACAGATTTCTAAACATAATCTACAGCAATTATATTGAATGATTACTCTTTCTTCTGGTTTGTCACTGCTTACTAGTGTGATACATACCTAAATAAGGATGATAATGCTGCTCTTCCTTAGGCAATGGAACAAGCTGTTGTGTTGCATCCTGAAACAGAAATTCTTTTTAGTACACTGGTAAAAGTAACATTAACTCTCATAAAAAATTATTCTCAACATGATATAAATACAAGATGAAGATTTTTTTTTAAGCCAATATTAATTTGTCTTCTGGGAAAAATAAATATATATATATCTTTAGAGACTCTGGGGTCTCCAAAAGGCCCCCCAACTTACCTGGAAGATCAGATCTGCATATGGTTCATCAGAGTGGAACATTTTGAAGCTGGAATATAAAGCTTAAATTAGTACACAAATCCCTTAATGTGTGTTCCATTAATCATTCCTACCCAACAATAATCATGACTAAACCTTGAAAATACCAGTACTTACTTCCATTCATCATCAGAATCACGCCCAAAATGTTGTTGCGCATATAACAGCAGATTGGTGTAAGCTGCTACCTCTGTTTCATTGTAAAGATAACCTCCCCGGGTCACAGCTGCATTTGAACGGACTGTGCCCAAATTGCAGTCCTGATAATCTGTTACTGAGGCTCGAGTACCTGAAAGAAAATTAGTATTCTTAATCCACATTAGGTACAAGGCAAATATTTACTGTGTCAATGTTTTGACAAATGTAAACTTGGGACAAAACTAAGTATAAGACCAAACTCCAAGCCTCATGAAACACTTGTGCTTGGAGGAAGCTGGTGTGCGAATATGATATATATCCTTCAAAAGTGCAATATTAAAAAGTATATCAGCATGGAGAAGATACAGAGGTTATGACAAAG